CTTCCCTCCCCCCACTCCCCCTATCCCATGTCCCCCCAGAGCTGTCAGTCCCATTGTTTTCTCCTCCAGATTTTTCATCAATGCCTCTTATGACTTCCCACAGGAAGGCTTTTCCAGATGACCTCTGCCAATGCAAACTTTGGGGGGTGAACTTGTGGCTGGGGCCACAGTAGGCAACACAGAAGCCCGGCTGCTGGGAGTCCAGTCCCTACATATAGTTCCATTGACTTGGTGCCCATCGGTGCAGCCATTTATAGGAGCCCACCCCCAAAGCCAGCAACACAGCTCAGGGATGTTAAGGGAGGGTGGGAGAATAAGCATCAGGGATGGAGGGCTCATAATTTGATAAGTTGGGGGTAACTTTTTGAAAATATTAAATTAGATGGGGTTTACATTTCAGATCATCAACTTTGTATTAAACAGTTTAAACCACCAATCCAGTGTCACCTCCTTCTTGATTTCTCTTCTTCCTCTTGTGGACCACCATCTTCCACTTCACTGACGTTAACACCTATCTACCATCTATTCTTTTTTTTTTAACCTTCATATATGTCATCTTTTTTTAAATTATAAATCATTTTTTGGAGGCTCTTACAACTCATCAAAATCCATACAAGCATCCATTGTGTGAAGCACATTTGTACATATGTTACCATCATCATTTTCAAAGCATTTTCTTTCTACTTGAGCCCTTGATATCAGCTCCTCATTTCCCCCCTCCTCCTCCCCCCCTCATGAACCCTTGATAATGTATAGATTATGATTTTGTCATATCTTACACTGTCCAATGTCTCCCTTTACCCCCTTGTCTGTTGTCCATGCCCCTGGGAGGGGATTATAGATAGGTCATTGTGATCGGTTCCTCCTTTCTCCCCCCACTTTCCCCTTCCCTCCTGGTATGGCTACTCCTAATATTGGTCCCAAGGAGTTTATCTGTCCTGTATTCCATGTTTCCAGGTCTTATCTGTATCCATGTACATGCTCTGGTCTAGCCAGATTTGTAAGGTAGAATTAGGGTCATGATAGTGGGGGGGGGGGCATTAAAGAATCAAAGG